CCTTTCTTCCCCCCCCCCCCCCCCCCCCCCCCCCCCGCTCTCCTCCTCTCTCTTCCTTATCTTTCTTCACCCCTTCTGTGTTCGAAGCTCGCCCCAGGTTATAGGGGTTATGTAAGAGGTTTATGAGCTTTATGTCATGCAAGCCGGTTCAATGTTGGTATTTCTTCGGCAAGCTGAGAGGAGGTGAGCTGGCGAGAGAGTCCGAATGTGCTCGTTGTTGGGCTAATATAAACTCGTCAGATTAGGCCTCGTAGGTCGTGACCCGGGGCCAAGTCCCACCAGCAGCGTTGAGCTACTACCTCAACGCCTGAATCTGGACGTGTTTGTGGAGACGTGCAGTTCAAGAAACTCGACACCATCTCTGCACATCTCCGCAAAAGCGTCCAGATTCAGGCGTTGAGGTAGTAGCTCAACGCTGCTAGTGGGACTTGGCCCCCGGTACGTCGTGAATCAAAAGTGTTTTTTGCCGGGAATCCGGGAATAGGAGACGCCTGTATCTGATGGCAATCCTACGTCACGTTCGCTTAATTCTTTTGGTCCCAGTGTGCCATCAGATACCTGGAAGAGTGCTACGTTCACGCTATAACCAGCGAATTCTTCTTATAAATATGGCAGTCGCTGCTCATGACCGGAGGACTGATGCCTACCAGTCTTTCCCCGAACAAAAGGCATGTGTTCTAAACGAATAGAAAGCAATGGTGGAGAACAACGTAATGACTTCTATCGGACTCCGCAGCAGCAGCAGCAGCAGCAGCAGCAGCAAATCTATGAAGAAGACGAGGGATGGAGGTCTGGGTAGAGTAGGTTCAGTTTTCCTGCAGTGGCCTGAAAATTTTCGTATAGAGGCCAGCCGTCTACCTCTGAACACAACACACCCTCATTTTGGCTGCATTGGACCCCCCGAAAGATGCCTTGTATACGTTCATTCTCAGGGTGGGTTATGTTGGGGGGGGAATGACGGGAGCCAGTGTTTTGTCCAGTGCCGTACTAACGTCTTCTCCCCGAACACAACGCACCCCCATTTTGCCTGTATCGGGCTGGAAACATACCTTGTATACGTTCATTTTTAGGGTGCGTTATGTTCGGGAAGAGGGGGGGTAGTAGGGACTGCGGCTGAATTTGGAGAGCGCGAACAGTTGCAAGAACCCAAAGGACGAACCTGTCCGCAACCCTGTCCCAATCCTTCAGCCAAGTGCAGTGGGGTCATGACATGACGCAGTGGGGTGGTGCAAATATAGATAGACCCATGGGGTGATCTCTCCATCAGAGTTGAAGAGGGGGGGGTGTCCCTCTTCCTGATGGACGACCGCTGATAGATGAACACGAAAAAAAGAACGACAAGAAGAAGAGAGAAAGGGAAAACGCACATGCTGTGCTCAAGTAAAGAAAATTTGGTCGTTTCAAATCCGAATAAGAGAGCATTACTCGTTCTATCCGAATACAACGCACATGTGCTCAACTCGAATTGTCCTTTTATTTTCTTCTTCATGTAGGCTAACTTAGGGCGAGTTAGCACTGGCAAAGAAGATTGGAATACGTGTCTGAATCTGTGGACGTGTTGGTGGAGAGGCGCAAAGGATTGTGAGTGATCTGGTTTTCTGCATCTCTGAGTGGAACACGTCCAGATTCACACGCTTATTCCAATCCTCTTTGCCAATGGGATCTGGCCCTAAGAACTGTCCGATTATGAAAGCATACGGTTTTGAGGGCGGTCACAAGGTCACCTATAGTTAACGTAGTTAACGAAGTGTGAGACTGAACTCCACACTACCGTCTTCACCCGAATATAACGCCCTGTCATTATACCTGTATTTGGTGCATTTTAAAGTCCAGATGCGGCCATAATGACTGGGCGTTCTATTCGGGTCATATATGGCTTTACCTTCAACTGGCGACAGGAGAGGAAACAAAGCATGGCATAAAAGCACATTCACAGAGGCTCGAAGAACAGACGCTTCTCATCTGCCAAGCATGTGCCGACTTTTTGAAAAGTCGTTTTCTTGGGGGGCAGGGAACTCGAATAGAACGCATGTGTTGTGCTGGGGGGGGGGGGGGGGAAGACAGTAGATTGGCATGAGGAGGATGGGAGATTGGGAGGCCGCCGCTCGGGTTATGGGGAACGTTGCCCAAGAGTTTTTTCTTGTTTATTTTTTGGGAAAATTGCATCTGTACCCCTATTTAAAGATGGGAATTCGTCCTATACCCAGTCTAGCACCCAACTTGCATCTATACCCACGCCCTGTCCGACTTAAGGTAATACCTCACTTTTCCCATGCGCCGGCTTTTATATATGTACCCAGTCCCACAGGCCCTTGGTTGCGGAGCACAAAATTGTGCTTATGCCCTGGAACGGGGCAGGCGAAATTTGGGTATGAACAGAATTTGCCTGGGCATGAGCATAATTTGAGCATTTTGGTAGTTGGGTATGGCTGCAATTTGGCGGCGGTACCAACCTTGGCCCACCTCGGTGCTGGGCGTGCAAATACTTTGCACAGACCGTTTCCCGGGTACGGATTCGAGTTGGACGCTCGAACTGGGTATGGCGGGTATTCTCATCTTTGAATGGGGTACAGGTGCAATGTTCCCTTCGTCTTTTTATTTTGACCATTGCGCAGAGGCTATGCGAATCTTTTCCGCTTGGTCGTTGATGAACTGAAACAAAGATCAAATCAATGTGGAAAAGTACGAAGTCGCCCATCAGCGAATTTACCGTCTGGATGTCCTGAAAAGCCCTCAGCGAATTTACCGTCGACGTCGTTTGATAACGAGGTTGCTGGTTCCTAACTTCCTGTGCAATTGTTTTTTTCATGAAAGCATGAATGACAGCTAACAACAGTCGCGTGTGGCGCCTAACGCATCTTCTTCTCTTTTTTTTTTTCTTTTTTTTTTTTTCTATATTCTTCTCTCAGCTTCTGTTTCTTTTACGTTCCACTACCTACTCCTAAGACTATCTAGAGGGGACCCCTGCAAGCATAGTTTCCTCTCTCTGTGAAGGGGAGATTTCATGTTGCCCCTTGCCCTTAATGGTTAGGGTATATAGGGTTGGGGCCGCCAGTGGGTGTCTGGCTAACACAAAGACCGAGACCTGCCAGTAGCTGTGCCTCCCTTTCTTTTTTTTTTTCTTTTTTTTTTCTTTTTTTTTTCTTTTCTTTTCTTTTTTAACCAACTTTGCATTCATTTATTCAAGGGAGGCCGGGAATCCCTCCACAAACAACCCGGAGAAAAACAAATGCTCGGACCATTACCCAGCTTTAGGTGCAGGCACTGGAGACTGAGTTTCAGACAGAAATGGCCACACTGATAACCCTCCAGTCCTGGGAACAAGATAGCCACAAGGCCTAAAAAGCCCCACAAACCAAAAAGGAAGTACTTCACATCAGCCCCTATGCTACACTAATATTCCGAACTAACTAAAAGGAAAACAAACAAAATTAAAGCTAAAGCTAAAGCTAGAGCTTGCCCCTAAGGCGGGGCGAGATGACGAATCCCAGCTTAGGATTCACTAAATTCTGAAGCTTATCCCTCCACAGAAAGACCCCCTGCCTGCCTACAGTCTGTCTCTTATACACATCTAGATGTGTATAAGAGACAGCTTCACATCAGCCCCTATGCTACACTAATATTCCGAACTAACTAAAAGGAAAACAAACAAAATTAAAGCTAAAGCTAAAGCTAGAGCTTGCCCCTAAGGCGGGGCGAGATGACGAATCCCAGCTTAGGATTCACTAAATTCTGAAGCTTATCCCTCCACAGAAAGACCCCCTGCCTGCCTACAGTGGCCCACCAAGAATGAAACCCTGCAGCCGAGCGCTACAGGTTGCACCCTGACTAACCAGCCTACGCAAAAACTTACTATCACAATCCATAACAACCAAACAACAACTGAACTTGAGCTAGTTCTTCTTAATGTAATCCAGGTCACCATGATACACAGATAAGCAATGGACATTCACAGGCTCCGTCAATCCAGGCCACTGGACATACACGATTATGCCTGAAGTAGCCATGGGTCAAAAACCAGCTGCATACCATCCACACGAACCAAGGTACCCCCGAGGGCCCAAGTGTCCAAGAACCACCGAAGACCACTCTGCGATAGCTGCTGCGGATGCACTTTGCGACGCCAATCTGCCATTATCGCCTGTCTCATCAGACCAGTGAAGGACCACTTTCTGGTGGAAACAGCTGGAGCCCCCATAGCAACTGTGCTGTCACTCTGCCCAGCAGACTGTCACTCTGTCCAGCAGACACGGCCAGACTGCCGAATCTAAAACAACTGTCATTCAAATCTTCCCCTGTGTGGGAAGCGGAAGGGGGCAGCTGGTGGCGGAGAAGGGCCGGTAGCGCTAATTCTAGCGCTAATGCGCAAGGTAACTTTCGTCCAGGTGAAAATTACCTGGCAGCAGATAAGGGTTTGGGTGAAAGTGTCACCTGCATTCCGCTATAGCCCGTTGGTGCTGAGAAGATGCTTTGTAGCGGACCCACCAGGTGTGGTGCTCCGCTAGTGACAGAGATGGAGATGGAGGAAGAAGGGGGAGCAAGATGGCACAACGCAGCTCCCCACGCCAGACTCCAACGCACGTACTCCAA